AGAGAGAAATGGTAGGATTTAGAAGACATTGAGAAAATGGTGGAGGAGTTATTTTGCTTTTAAAGAACGTATCACTTTGCGCGACGAAACAATATATTGGTCGTGCAAAGTGTTTAAAATTTAAAAAAATATTCCCATTTTCGGTGCCCGCCAAATTTTTTCAGTTTTGCGCGACGAATTTCTGGTCACCCAAACTTTTGCGCGACCAAAATATTCCTGCGTCCCATTTTTGGTGCCCGCCTAATTTTTAGAGTATACTTTGCGCGACGAATATTTATATATTGGTCGCGCAAAGTCGAAATTTTTTTTTAAACATCCCATTTTTGGTGCCCGCCAAATTTTTAGAATATATACTTTGCGCGACGAATAATTATATATTGGTCGCGCAAAGTCGAAATTTTTTTTTAAAAATCCCATTTTTGATGCCCGCCAAATTTTTAGAATATATACTTTGCGCGACGAATAATTATATATTGGTCGTGCAAAGCCGAAATTTTTTTATTATTTTAAAAATCCCATTTTTGGTGCCGCCAAATTTTTAGAGTATACTTTGCGCGACGAATATTTATATATTGGTCGCGCAAAGTCGAAATTTTTTTTTTTTTTTTAATTCCCATTTTTGGTACACGCCCAAATTTTGAGAGTATACTTTGCGCGACGAAATACCAATTGGTCGAGCAAAGTCTTAAAAAATATTTAAAGCTAGTAATAAATACATATACTATTCAATTTCTTAAGTGTTATACGTACAAAATAAATAAATTTAAAGCTACTCAACGATCCAACCGTCAAACTTGTTTGTTTATACTTCGAGATCATATACACCAAAATTCAGAAAATATAAACATTAAGAGATCAATTAATGGGACAAAACATTTCGACGGTTATAAACGAAAAATCATGATTTAACGGTTATTTCAACCTTGATTTTGATGATTTTTTACAGTTACACTCCTTGACCCTGTATGAATACAATGATTGCATTCGATCGTCAATTTAAAATATTTACACTGGTAGATACCACAAAATCGTATGCTATATTTAATAAAAGTATAAATAAACTCTTATTTATTAGTGAATATATTGTTTTCATGGCATACGCATTCTACAAGAAACTAGTTTCAATGATCCAACCGTCAAACTTGTTTGTTTATACTTCGAGATCATATACACCAAAATTCAGAAAAAATAAACATTAAGAGATCAATTAATGGGACAAAACATTTCGACGGTTATAAACGAAAAATCACGATTCAACGGTTATTTAAACTCTGATTTTCATGATTTTTTACAACTACACTCCTTGACCATACAATGACTCCATTTGATCGTCAATTTAAAATATTTATACTAGTGGATACCACAAAATCTTATGTTATATTTAATGAAAGTATAAATAATCTCTTAATTGTTAGTGAATATATTGTTTTGATGGCATACGCATTCTACGAAACTAGTTTCAACGATCCAACCGTCAAACTTGTTTGTTTATACTTCGAGATCATATACACCAAAATTCAGAAAAAATAAACATTAAGAGATCAATGAATGGGACAAAACATTTCGACGGTTATAAACGAAAAATCACGATTTAATGGTTATTTCAACTCTGATTTTCATGATTTTTTACAGCTACACTCCTTGACCCTATATGAATACAATGATTCACTTCGATCGTCAATTTAAAATATTTACACTAGTGGATACCACAAAATCTTATGTTATATTTAACAAAAGTATAAATAAAGTCTTAATTGTTAGTGAATATATTGTTTTAATAGCATATGTATTCTATAAAACCAGTTTCAACGATCCAACCGTCAAACTTGTTTGTTTATACTTCAAGATCGTATACCCCTAAAATCGGAAAAAATAAACATTCAAAGATCATGTTATGGGACAAAACTTTTTCGATGGTTATAAACAAAAATCACAATTAAACAGTTATTTTAACTCTGATTTTGATGATTTTTTACAGCTACATTCCTTGACCCTATATGAATACAATGAACCAATTTGATCGTCAATTTAAAATATATATTTTCTAACAAAAACCCAATCCGAACTACAATAATATATTTTTCTAACAAAATATTTTTATTTATTTATTTATTTTTGTATAGACTTTGCGAGACGAAGATATTTCGTCGCGCAAAGTCATCCAAATTTTTTATTATTTTTTATTTAATTTTAGTAAAGACTTTGCGAGACGAAGATTATTATTTCGTCGCGCAAAGGCATCCAGAAATTTTTAAAAATAATTTTTTATTTATTTATTTTTGTAAATACTTTGCGAGACGAATCACTATTCGTCGCGCAAAACTCTGTGCACCGAATTCTAGTATTCGTCGCGCAAAGTTACTTTTCGCGACGATTCTTTGTTGTCGCGCAAAGTTTTGTAGCGCAAAGTGACTTTGTGCGACGATTTGTTTTTCGTTGCGCAAAATTGAGTCGCGTAAGACTTTGAGCGACGATGATTTATATTTGTCGCGCAAAGTCACTTTGTGCGACGAATTTTGTTTCGTCGCGCAAAGTTTGGTCGCGCAAGGGGTTTTTTTTAGTAGTGTTCCTAAAGTCCAATTTTGAGTTCCCTTGCTCTTGGATAGTTCTACTCTTCTCTTGCCCACCCAATTCCTCAGCTGGGTAGCCTCTACTCTTCAAATTGGTGAGGTTGAAGGCCAAGGAAAGAACAAAAATCAAATTGTAATTAAATGAAAGGGTTAATGACCTAAATGGTCCCCAAATTATTGCCCCAGTATTCTAATTCCCGAACAACTAAACCATTAGGAATTCATATTTTTTACACACAATTTTCAAATTTTCAAATTTACCATCTACTTTAATCCAACAACGATAACATTTTAGTAATTAACACCACTTCTACCCCAATTACATATGTAGAAGTTTCCAAAACTGCAATGCAGTTTCCAAAACTGGTGAGGTTGAAGGCCAAGGAAAGAGCAAAAATCCAATTGTAATTACCAAAACTGCAATGCAGTTTCCAAAACTGCAATGTAGAACCTGTATAAAATTTCACCTACTAAAAAATAAAGAAATATAATGCTGCAAGCATAAACAAAAGACAGAGACATGGAGAAAAATAAATAAATTTAACCATAAGATCATACCCCCATACCAAATATTACGGACAAATACAATCAATCATACCCAAATTGAATATAAATCCAAATATTATGTACAAAAATCATGTAGGAACATCTTCCACCAATTTTTTTTTTTTCTTATTGTCAAGCATCGTTCTCTTAATCAATATCAATGCATACTTGATGGACCTGTCTTTCTCAATATGCAAATTGACAAATAATGACAAATTTCAAAATATTGGATTATGATAGTGAAGATTGATGAAGACAAGATGAGAAACAAAGAAATGGGTTATTCATCTTACAAATTGGTAAATTCTGTCCAAGAACGAAACCAAGAGTTGAGAATCTCAAAATTTTCCAGTAAATTCTAATAATTTCAACGAAGATAAAAGCTATTTTCTGTATAATTACATCCTGTCAAACAACCAAAATAATGTGTGTATAAGTACTATCAACTTCGACCACTTGCATGCTTTGTAAATAAACTTTGACCCTCCGGGTCTGGTGATGACAAATTTGCTGCAAAGAGTCAGCTATAAAGCCTCCGGCTCTTCCTTTATGGAAAACAAGGTTGTGTGCATAATTTCTGTGGAGTAACCACACAGCTTTGATGTTGTCAAAACATATGAATGCTAAGTCATGTCTAAATACATGCATACAAGACTTCTAAAAAGTACACAAGCAGTCAATTTCCAATAAAAGCAAATACCTGATGACGAAAAACACCACAGAAGATGCTATTATTCTTGAGACCAATCATCTTAACTATTTCATCCATGGTCCACCCATACAAATCCTTGTACGAGACTATTCAATTCCGATAACACATAAGCAAGGACAGTGGAATCTGATAGTATTAAATAACATAAAAAAGCAATTATCAGAAGAAAAGTTGAGGTCCACATAACTTTTACAATCTAATGTGTCATTAACTAGTATCACAAGCATAGCTTGGTTAGTTTACCTTTCCCACCAGTGGCGCCAAGGGCAATGCTCTCACCAGGCTTAAATAACTGGTTTTCGACAATTACTTGATGGATCTCCTCCTCAAGTAACTCATAGAAACACTCCGAACTTGAACTCAGCAAGATAGCGATCGTAATCTCTCTTCATCTTGAGCTAGAAGACCTTGGAGTTACCCATGAAGGCCGAAGGGATGAGCAGCTTGAGAATTCCATCGCAGGTGAAGGCTGTGGTCGTCGTTGCTGCGGGGATAGAGAGAGAGAGAGAGAGAGAGAGAGAGAGAGAGATCTAATCTGATCAAAAAGGGAGACCAATAAATATTTTAAATAAAAAGGGTATAATTGTCTTTTTAGTGATTAATGTAAGGTGAGCCAACAAATCTGGGCTCCTCTTTGGCCTAATCCAAAATAACAATTCTTTTATAAGTATTATGTCTAATACCTAATTTTTCTTTAAATTTTTATCATGATTATCTGTTTGGTTTGTCATATAGCAAATGTTGTGTGTTGATTGCCTCTTACCAAAATTAGCACCAATAATTGCATAATTTTGACCCCTTTTTAAATTGGTTTAAACCGTAATTAGCATTATTTTTTATTTTTTTAGGATATAGACTATAGAGAGGGTCCTAATTAAAAAACAAATGGGTTTTACAGGCTGTGGTTTATTATGAGTTTTGGAAGACTGGAATTAGGTTTAGGTTTAGGGTTGACTGGGACCGCTACATAAGAGCAAGTCCACCCATGAAGGCTAAGGCAAGGCAAAGGCAAGGCAAGGGCTGCCACTATTCATGTGAATAGTGGCAGCCTTGCCTTTTTTGGTTCTACCCCAAAAGGCTAGGGCAAGGGCAAGAAAAAAAAAAAAGATTATGCAACAAAATATAAACAATTTAGAAAGTGAATAAAATTGTTATGTATTTATAGGGAAAACATCCATAATATTTTGGTTTTTTTATATAAAAAAAATTGAATTTTTTTGGATTTTTGTGATTTTTTTTTTAATTTTTTTGCTTGCTGACATCAGCGTGCCATCAGCGCTGACGTGAGCGCCTTCGGGCTTGAGCCCAGGCAAGATTTGCCCGTGGGCTTGCCCAGGCTGGTAGGTCCCATGCCTTGCCCAGGCTTGTTCACTACCGCTGGAGTTGAATTGGGCTTGCCCGAGCAGCCTTTTGCCCGGTTTTGGTGTATGGCTGGAGGGGCTCTAAATGCTTTGTAGTGTGAACGTGGGCTACTAGTAGTTTTGACCATATCCTCTGCCACCTGTGAATTGAGAATATTAATAAATAGCCAGTCAGACCTAAGGAAAATGGTATTGTTAATTAGTATGAAAAAATTGATCATTGTTTCTGCATATGAATTTTGACCATGTGATCAATAAGTTGCGTCAAAGATGAGCCTGACACTTGATATGGACAGTTTTTAATCTGAGATGACACTTGACTATTGCTTTGGAAGCCTTTAAGAATCTGCTACATGTTTTTCTTTTTCGCCTGAAAAATCCGCGGGAATTTTTTTTTCCAGTATATTATGATAAATAATAAAATATTACATTCACATCTTCTAAATAATAAAATATTCAGTATTGAGCACGATTCTATAGTTGTGCCTGCACATATATGTCTAATTAGTTATAGCTTATCATAATACAAGCACAAATGCCTCTTTTGGTGCTCTGTAGTGTCTGACACAAATTAACAAATTAGTGTCCTATAGCAATGAAAACTCCTATGTAGGAAACCGTCAACTAAAAAGTGGTAGATTTCTTTAGTATACAATCTAGATCTTTCACACAAATATGTAATACGTATAAAGACATGAAAACATACCTGGAGCCATTTTCCTTGAGTACACAGCTTCTGAATTCATCTTATCCGTTGCAGCAGCAATCCTGGCAAAAACAGGAATGGCTCAAGAACTTCTGCTCTCTATCAGAGTCTGTTTCAGCTCTCTCTTTATGATGAGAATAGGTTTAGAGAACGTGTCTGATGAGAGCAGGGCCTTAAGCTTATATAGGCTAGGTCAAGTCGTCTCTACTCATCACCGATGGCCGACTTGACTTATCTTCCAAGCCCACTTAATCGGTTCACGCAAAAAATGAAATAAATTAGGACTCCTTAATAGGCCTCAAAACCCTTCCTTATTTCACAAGGTTTTGGGCCTCAAGGTGCAACTTAATTTAAACTATTATCAAACCTGATATAACTTAGTATCTAGTGCACCGATCTAAATAGGAAAACATAACATATAAAGCACAATTATTTGTGTCTTTTGAAGTTAAGAGCACAAATAAAAATGGTGCCTATGTTAGTCCAACGCTATCCTTAGCTTTGAATTCAAAATCATGATTGAGTTGTACATTTGAAAGTTTGGTAGTTTGTTCAGATTGTATTTGTTTTTCAAAGTCTGTGATAAGGATAACCTCCTAAAGGAGGAGTCCTATCTTATCTCTGTAACTCAGCTCTTATATAGTTTGTTTATAAATACAAACCCTCCATCACACTGATGGATCATTGAGCCAAAACGTGTCTTTGATATTTTACATGGTATCAGAGCTTTCTGTCTAACGACATTCAATTAATTTTTTTTTTTCTCCCAAACCTTTCTCTCTTTTCAAATGGCCAATACAGACGACATCCAAGCTTCTTCCCACCCTACCAACAGTGCTACACCCGCCACTCATATTACCACCATGCCTACTGCTTTCTCTGCTGCTGTCACAATCAAGTTGGATAGATCCAACTATTCTCTCTGGTTGGCTCAGTTTGTTCCTATTCTCAGGAGTCGTGATCTTATGGGGTATGTGGATGGCTCCATTTCTTGCCCTCCTCAGTATATTTCTGGTTCTACCACTGTTTCTCCTGCATATACTACCTGGATGCAGCAGGACCAACTTATTCTGAGTTGGCTCAATAGCTTCTTCACTCCTTCTGTGTTGTCCACCGTTGCTCGCAACCAGACTTCTCGTGCGACTTGGCTGGCCTTGGAGGGCAGTTATGCTTCGACATCGCAAAATCGCATTCTCAGTTTGCGCAATGAGCTCATGCGCACAATGAAGGGAGACTTATCTGTTTCTGATTATCTTGATAAAATGAACCAAGTTGCTGATAATCTTGCTCTTGCAGGTCAACCAGTAAATGATGATGAACTGGTGCAGATTATTATGAATAATCTAGGTCCTGCCTTTGAAATGGTTGTTAGTGCTGCTCAGGCTAGAGATACTCCTATCACATATCCAACGCTTGAGGCACTGCTCTTGACTACTTAACGCAAACTGGCTGAACAGGTGGGGGCTGTGATTGAGAGTTCTCCTACCGTCGCTGCTTTTTCTGCTAATCGAGGACGTGGTGGTGCTCGTCCTCGTGGTACTGGACGTGGTGGTGCTCCGTCTGGTCGTGGATACTTCTCAAACCCACGAGGTGGTGCTGCTCGTGGCTCCTTTTCTAATCAGCGTTCTAATCCATCTGTTGGAGAAGCTTTCTCCTCTTCCATGCCTCCTAGGATGGTGTGCCAAATCTGTGGAAGGGCTGGCCATCCAGCTTTGGATTGTTATCAACGTATGAATGTTGCTTATGAAGGGCGAATTCCTGCAAAAAGACTTACTGCAATGGCTTCCTCTCCCACAAATCTGACACGTCAAAACAATGGCACGTGGCTGCTTGATACTGGGGCCAACGCTCATGTGACTCCCGAACTTCAGAATCTTGTCAATCCTAAGGAGTACACTGGTAATGAAAATGTTGGTGGTGTAGGTAATGACTCTCAATTATCAATATCTCATTGTGGCTCAAGTACCATTAGTACTAACTCTTGCTCTTTCCAATTGAATGATGTCTTACATTGCCCATCTGCTTCTACAAATTTGATTTCCGTTCATCGTTTTACTTCCGACAACAATTGCTACATTCTCATCTTTCCTGATTGTTTCTTTGTGAAGGACCTCAAGACCCAGAAGACGCTTTTCCAAGGGAGATGTGAGAATGGATTATATCCATTCACAAATGGCGGTGGTTTTTCCAATCAATCTTTTTCTGCTTTCGTAGGAACCCATGTCTCAATTCAAAAATGGCATTCTCGCCTAGGCCATCCAGCTAGTGCAATAATAAAGAATTTGATTTCAAATAATAAAATGCCAATTAGTGGCTCTTCTCATGTACCGTTTTGTTCTTCATGTCCTTTAGGTAAAAGCACTAAATTACCATTTCCAAATTCAGATTCTGTGTCTTTGTCTCCATTGGCTCTTGTACACTCCGATGTTTGGAGTTCACCAATTGTTTCTGTTCATGGCTTTCGTTATTATCTTCTTTTAGTTGATGACTTCTCTCGATACACTTGGATATTTCCTATGAAACAAAAATCTGAAGTGTTTGATATTTTTGTCAAATTTAAAAAACAAGTGGAAAAAATGCTCAACACCTCCATAAGAGCTCTTCAATGTGATGAAGGAGGTGAGTACACTAAACTCGCCTTTCAACAATTTTTGGCAAATCATGGAATTACTCAACGCTTTTCCTGTCCCAAACATCCAGAACAAAATGGTCTTGCAGAACGGAAACACCGTCACCTTGTTGAAACTGCTATTGTCATGCTTAATCATGCTCACATTCCTACCTCTTATTGGTTAGAAGCCTGCCAAACTGCCACTTATCTCATAAATCGTCTTCCCACACGTGTGCTAAACCATTTGTCTCCTTTTGAAAAATTGTTTCATAGACCTCCTTCATATAACATGCTTCGGATCTTTGGGTGTAGGTGTTTTCCTTGGCTCACTCCATATAATAAACATAAATTACAACCAAAATCAAAAACTTGTGTTTTCTTAGGATATTCTCTTAACCATCAAGGATATAAATGTTTGGATTTATCCACGAGACGACTTTATTTGTCTCGCCATGTCCTATTCGATGAGGACTTTTTTCCATTTCAGGAACTCACATCTTCCAAGGGGAGCGTCGAACACACAGGTACTAATTTTGATCATTCTGCCGTGTTGTTTACTATTCCAGAAACAATTAATTCAAGTTTACCATCAGGTTCTGTTGTTTTGCCTACAAGAGACAATCCTACTTCAACTCCACTTCCTGATTGCACGCCACTTCAATCTCCTTCTCCCACTCAAACACCTACTCCTATTCCCCTAGTTGTTGAGCAAGAGTTTGTACCTCCTAATGAGCCAATAAATGAGGATATTATCCCGCAGGTTGCTGAAGTTGTTTCTCATCATCCTATGGTGACCAGGTCTCGGTTGGGTGTTCAAAAACCCAATCCCAAATATGCCTTACATGTTATTATGGATACTAAATGCATTGAACCAACTTCTTTTAGTCAGGCCATGAAACAGGAAGAGTGGAGACATGCAATGGCTCAAGAGTTTAATGCTTTGCAACGTAATGGTACCTGGCAGCTTGTTCCTTTTCAGTCTCATATGAATTTGCTTCCAAATAAGTGGGTGTTCAAAGTAAAGAAAAGAGCCGATGGAACAATAGAGAGATACAAGGCCAAACTTGTTGCCAATGGTTTCCATCAGCAACAAGGTATCGACTATAGTGAAACCTTCAGCCCCGTTGTCAAACACAGCACTATTCATCTTGTCCTTAGCCTGGCCGTGAGCAATAAATGGCAGGTTCGCCAACTTGAAGTACAGAACGCATTCCTCCATGGAAATCTCTCTGAAGAAGTGTTTATGAAACAACCTATTGGCTTTGTGGATCAACAATTTCCCTCTCATGTGTGTAAGTTGAAGCGTAGTCTCTATGGATTGAAACAAGCTCCCCGAGCTTGGTTTCAACGTTTCTCTGAATATCTGTTACAGCTTGGGTTTCATGAGTCCCAAAATGACTACTCACTTTTTGTTTACAATCATCAAGGTGTCTATTTAATTTTGCTTATCTATGTCGATGACATCCTTATTACTGGCAATGATCAAGAACAGATTTCTCATTTGATTCGGCGACTAGGCACCTTATTTTCTATGAAGGATCTCGGGAAACTTCATTATTTTCTTGGAATCGAAGTCACATATGATGGTGATTGCATGTACTTGACGCAGTCGAAGTATGCACTTGATCTGTTACAGCGTACTAAGTTTGTTGATGCTAAGCCAATATCTACTCCTGTTTCCAGTGGACAAAAGCTGAGTGCCTTTGTTGGTGAACCTCACTCTGATCCTGAGACTTATAGAAGTATTGTAGGTGCTTTACAGTATCTTACAATCACCAGACCTGATTTATCGTATGCTGTAAATCAGGTCTGTCAATTTATGCATGCTCCACGGTCTACTCATTGGTTGGCAGTTAAGCGAATTTTACGGTATGTTAAGTTTTCCTATGATCATGGTCTGGCTTATAAACCTGGTGGTTTGCACTTGTCTGCCTTCTCTGATGCAGACTACGCAGGGGATCCGGATTCTCGCCATTCTACTGGTGGTTATTGTGTGTATCTTGGTCCTAATTTGATTTCGTGGAGTTCCAAGAAGCAGAAAACTGTTTCTCGCTCGAGCACTGAAGCTGAATACCGTCAGCTAGCATATACGGCTGCAGAATTGTCTTGGTTGCGGTCTTTGTTCTGTGACTTGCACCTGTCTCTTACTTCTCCTACCATATGGTGTGATAATATTTCTTCCATTGCGTTAGCATCTAATCCGGTTTTTCATTCTAGAATCAAGCATCTAGAGGTTGATTATCATTATGTAAGGGAAAAAGTAACTCGTGGTGAACTGGTTGTCAATTTTATTTGTTCCCAAGATCAGTTGGCTGACTTGTTTACTAAAGGTTTGTCTTCGACTCGCTTCAACATGCTCGTCTCCAAGCTTCCAGTCTTGCCTCGTGCTGTCAGCTTGCGGGGGGATGTTAGTCCAACGCTATCCTTAGCTTTGAATTCAAAATCATGATTGAGTTGTACATTTGAAAGTTTGGTAGTTTGTTCAGATTGTATTTGTTTTTCAAAGTCTGTGATAAGGATAACCTCCTAGAGGAGGAGTCCTATCTTATCTCTGTAACTCAGCTCTTGTATAGTTTGTTTATAAATACAAACCCTCCATCACACTGATGGATCATTGAGCCAAAACGTGTCTTTGATATTTTACAGCCTAAACCCAAATATTGTAGTAGTGGCAGTAATTTTCCATCATAAATTTTCACCACATAATTTACCCCAACACCCACAACCAAATTATAAAAAAATTTAAAAAAGGACCACATGTTTCATGTTTGGTAGAATCTTGACAAAAGCTCATGTCAAGTTGTCCAAGGAATTGAAGGCTGAAGTTAATAGTTTTGGTGGAAAATGACTTCCTCTTCCCTCTATCATTTGTTCTCCCATTGCTTTTGCAAGTGGCCAATCAATTGGGATCATTCATTCTTTCAGCTATCTTGCTAAACAAAAATTATATGTGTGTGTATCTATAGACTCTATAGAGAGGGAGTAGAGATGATATATGAACATAAATGTTTGAGAGTCAAGACAGTTTGCTCAGTTTCTCTCATTTCTGGTGTCCTAGTAAGTTGAATAATGAATGACTGGATAGATATCATGAACAGATGTAGATGAACCGGTCAAGGGACCTTGACTTGATGCAGTTTGTATCTGGCTCTCACTGGTGTTCATTCCCAAAGTGGATTCAAAATGTTTCATCATTGCATCCATCTCATTATTTGATGCATTTGGATCTGAGACCAATATCTGAACAGCAGCCCTGCCTTCAAGCATGCTCACAACTGAAGACATGGTAGGCCTAATTGTTGAAGTAGCATTGCAGCAAAGGAGAGCCACATTGATTGTACGCATCATCTCTTCTTTGTTGAAGTCTGAGCCCAACCTTGGATCCACTAGGTCCATCAAATTCCCTTGCTCTTTCAGTAGATGTGCCTAAAGTTAAATACAGTGTAACATAATGTGCTGATGCATCCACAAATACATAATAGAGATAAACAGTACCAGATTAAATTTAAAAGCTAAATAAGGAAGCAATAGAATCATCTTACCCAATCAAGAAGATAAAGGCTTTCTTCCTTTGAACGGTAACTGGTGTTGTTCCTCCCACTAGCAATTTCCAATACAAGAATTCCAAAGCTATAAACATCTGCTTTGTCAGTCAGATAACCCCGCATTGCATATTCGGGTGCCATATATCCACTGCAAAAACATGAAACCGCACATCATTCCCCCATATTTAGCTTAGAGAAATAGGAAAAATACTACTAAGCCTTCAAATTTGTTTTAACAGTATAAACCTTCCATCTGTTTCCTATTTCTATGGACCCATCATCGGGGTGGAAGAAATCAGAATAAAAAAAATAGCACAGGGACTCACTAAGTTCCAGCAATACGGGTGCTAATGTGTGTCTTATCCTCTTCATCAAGCTTGGCCAATCCAAAGTCAGATATCTTTGGGGTAAGATTTTTATCAAGCAGCACATTAGTAGCCTTGATGTCTCTATGAACGACCTTCAATCTTGATTCCTCGTGGAGGTAAGCCAAACCTCTAGCTATACCAACACAGATCTTGTGCCTTGTTGGCCAATCCAACTTCAACTGACTTTCTTCTGGCCCTTCAATTTGTCAAATTACTCAAAGTTAGTTATAAGGGACATTTTTTATGTATAAGATCTTTTATACCCATCTGCATGAACCAAATGAAGTTTAGGCATACAAGTGTAGTATTTACCAAACAAAGCACGAGCAAGGTTATTATTTTCCATGTACTCATAGACAAGCAATAGTTGATTTCCTTCAATACAGCATCCGTGAAGCTTGACAAGATGAGGGTGTTGCAGAGCAGAAATCATGCCTATCTCATTCACAAATTCACGATTCCCTTGCTTTGATTTGGAAGAAAGCTGCTTGACAGCAATTACGGTGCCATCTGATAGAAGGCCCTGCGTTTGAGAGACAAAGTCAAAATCTCTTCACTAAAAAGTAGAGCAACTTTAATAACAATGCTTACAATTAGTCAAGTTAGCCCAACTGCAATAAATAAATAGAAATATTGGTTCAGCAGAATACCTTGTAAACAGAACCAAAACCACCTTCTCCAATCTTATTGGCTTTGTCAAAGTTGTTTGTGGCATCTTTAAGTTGCCTGAAGGTAAATTTACCAGTTTGCAGGTCCACGCCCTTTAAATCTGTGTAAGAAGCAAACTCATATAAAAAATTGTGTCTAAAAGAAATTCATAATGGTAAGCATATAATTTTTTCATATCACGCTACTGATTCAAGGCCAAGAATTTAACAAGTGGACCTATAGGTAGGTAAATTTTGCATCAGGAGTTTGAACAGATAATATATTCTAGCAGCATTAATTCGTTAGAAATGAAAAAAAAAAACATATGACAAACCATTATAACAGCATAAACATGTAAATACCATCTTCCAAAGTATTTTGTTGTCCTAAGAGGCCTCTCCTCCAAAGAATACCAAAAACCAGTATTAATATAATGAAGACTCCTCCAGCCACAATTCCCACTACTGCACCTACAATTCCACCAGGTGATGTGCTACTTGCAACTTCTGGTGGGGGTGGGGTTGGGGCTTCAAAGTCTGCCAGAAGAAGAATAGCTTTATTAGAGTAAATGTAAATGTAATAGATAAGAGAGTACATTATTCAACCAGCTTCCTAATATTTTTTGGACTTTATCTGTGAGGAAATCAAACCTAGCCGCTCTCTCCCTCTGTGAGTCCTAAAGGAAAATTCCATTGAGGGGGGAGGAGAAAGAAGCATCACTGCCCCTCCTCCCCTTCCTCTCTTCTCTTATTTTCTTTTTAGGTTCACTGGGGCGTTTTGAATAAAAAGCCTCTTGTGGTGGTTTCTTCTAAGCCATGGTTAGATTGAAGTTCCCCATCACCCCTTTTAGTCTATGTTCTCAATCAAATCCTACTCCCAAAATCCGCTCCCTAACATTGCTCATGTTCTTTAAATTTGATTATACATCGTCTTTGACAGAGGTTGCTGCAAATCACCCAATTATTTTTTGGCAAAGTTGTTGTTTTCGTTTATTTGTTCGCTCTTATGCGTAGGTAGATAGCTGTAAATTATATTTTCCCCAGATCTGTTACGGATGCGGTGGTGGGTGTGGCCGCAACGGTGCTTTTTCATGTGGTGGTGGTAGGGTTCGTTTAGGCTCATGGGTTGATTTAGGATTTTTTGTTATGTTGGGTTTATGGGCTTTGTTTGGGCTTATGGCTAATTGTGGTGATGTGGGCTAGTAGTTCTAGTGCAGCTTTTGTCCACGTTAGTTTTGCTTTTAGCATGTTAGTTTGTTGCCCTCTTTGAATTGGTATTTTAGATGTCTTGTTGATGTCTTTAATTGTACCGTTGAAGTTTATCTAATCAAGTATCTATTTGATAAAATAATAATAATAATAATAACAATAATAAAAAGACCAGCTTCCTAATAATACACAAAGAAACAAAAGATTCAACCCTCTGGGGGAACCTTAACATAAGTAGATAGAAAAATACATAGATGCATTTTTGTGGCAATACAAGGAAAAAAAACAAAGACTCAGAGCTCCAACGATGGAGGCGATCAATTTATTGAGTACCACACAGTCCTTATCAGTTCCCCTCCCTCACCCCAAAGAAAATAAAAAGTAAAAAAATCAGAAGAAGCAAGCACTCTGCAGAACTAAAGCCGGGTCTCTTAATTTTGTTAAAATATTAATTGCCTAACATGATATTTACATACGAGAAACTCCCAATGGTCTACAAATAGTAATTATAAGAAGCTCAGCACAACGTAAAGTTACCTGCAGGATCTGCCGAAATAGCTGATATAAGAGGACCATAAACTCCTGTAAGAGGGATACCGGTCGTCCCTTTCCCAGCCCAATAAAAACGGATCTCCAAGGTACCACTAGTTACAGCAGCAGTATAGTTCATTATGACTGGAGTACTAATCCCACCAGCTGCATCCACAATATTGAAATCCTCCTGCACTAGTCTCCCCTGCAGTATAGTTCATTAGTGGGCTGATGGCCCGTCTCTTTGAAATTTAACACATTTCATATTGTAATGTGACCCCTACCTGAATGTAAACATCAAATATACGCCTTCCTAGGCTTTTATATGTTTGGCCATTTGTAAACACTGTCTCTGCAAAATGGAGGTTTACGGTGTATTTTCCATTTGCCAGACAAAACCCATAATAAGTTAGAGAGATGGGAGAAAGGCGTGCATCCCTGTACAGTTGTGGATTGGCCATAGCGGGTATTTCGTTGGTCAATTTATAAGTAAGGTTGCCCTCATCATCATTACTCAAGGTGTCTTCAAGACTTCCACTATCACTAAAGTAACCAGTGCTGCTTAATGCCCAATTTGTTGTGCTCTGGTAAAATGATGAAGGTCCAGCTGAATATGTGTCCGCCTCAAATATTTTATCTTTTTCCCCATATACAGTTACTGCTTTAGCCAAGTTCACCTTAAAATTTCCTCGTACTGAATTTGGTCAAGCTACCCACATCTCATAACATATAGTATACCAAGATGATAAAGGTCCACCCCAAGACAAGGGCATAGCCATCATTTAATTTCAGGATGCTCTCTTCCCTTGGAACTACCTTCTATGTTGATTAGGTCAATCTCTCCAACTTATGCATCTACTAAACACTGTTGAATATGTCGAATCCTATCCTTCCTTGTCTTCCCACACATCCATCTTGACATTCTCATTCCCACCACACTCATTTTATGAACATGTTGTTTTCTAAGTGCCTAGAATTTCGTCCCATATAGCGTGGCTGGTCTACCAATATATGCAAAAAATGTTTTGGAGATATGAGGGAAACTTTGAAAAAGCTTAGGAGTCATAAACTTAGGAAACATTTTAGGATACTTTCAAAACTTCAAATTCTTACATGAAAAGGAATAGCTACTATCTAAGAATGCTATCAACAATTTTAAAATCAGTGATCATGAGAAAATAATGAATGTACATTAATGCCTATTTCATGAGTATAATTGTAAGTGAAGCTCCAATATGAAAAGTCATGTTAACGCATGTACGGTGCTTTATCCAGCATTAGACATCATAAATTTCCTTACTACGTAACTAAATATTAGCATTTGGAAGAGACGCTTACAAGTTTTCTTTCGTCCAAGTAGGCACGGGTCCAGTCAGCAAGTTTCCAGTTAAGAATCTAAACATAATTGATACAGGAAAAAGGGCATAAATTACTAGAAGGGGGTATAGACATGAGCAATGAATTACTAGATTTGTTTGCTTGAGTATTAACGAATTAAAAAATATATTCATTCCAGTATAACTTGTGAGTCATTAGTTATATAGTAAGCATGATTAACATGTCCAGCTTGTAGGGCTGGGGTGTGACAAAACCATTGAAGAATGTCTGCTTGGGTTTTCTTGTAAGAAAGTCAAAATTTGTTATTCGAATTGCTTACATATTATCCACGTAGGCTAGAGCATCAAAGTTGCTTGGAATTGTCCCGTTTAGCTTGTTAAAGCTGAGGTCTCTGCACAAACCAATAACAAATGCATTTCAGATATGCTCCCCTAAAGAAAGACGTTATTTAAATTTAAAAAAATAATAAAAACTTTCCAGGAATAAGGTAAGTGTCAAATATATGCCATGATCTGCTCGTGTATACATGTGTGTGAGTGCGCTGATTACTTAAAAATAGGGCATGTTCTCTTTGTACATACAGAAACATGTGGCCCCCTCCAACATCCTCAAAGTCATTCAATTCCTTGAGTTATTAGAATAGCATCTAGAAAGAAGATAATTTATCTGGAGACACTAAAGAAACAGGGACAAAGACATTTGTACTAACAAAGTTTTCAACTTCGTCAGGTCCCCGAGATATGTAGGTAGCGGTCCAACAATATTGCAACTCCTCAACATCCTGTAACAAAAGCACTAAAATTATGAGTTTGCACTACAGACAGAAATTGTGTGTCATGGAACCTTTAACTCACAGTGTCTTCATGCTTTTCATATTCTCAAGTGGAGGAAAGGGTGCTTCAGGCCCACTCAAGTCAGTAATTCTCCTGCATGTTAAAATCGAGCAATGAACATCCAGAATATTGCTAATCTGTTTGTATTTATAAATAGATAGAAAATCAAAATCCATACTAACAAGTCAGTTAAATTTGTCAAATGAGAAATGCCGGAAGGAATTGGCCCCGTCAAACCACTAGCCTGAATCAGTCTGTTTTAACAAGTCATAACATTTGAATTAGTGATAATATTCAGAATCAAGTAGCAGCAAAGATAACAACAACAACAACAAAAACTCACAGTTTCTCAAGATTTGTCCAGTTCTTTATAAAATCAGGTATCTGCCCAGAAAAGTGACTGTCACCCACCCGGCTGCATAATGATTGGCAAAAAGGAAAACAGTACCAATTAATCCTATAATGCGGTATTTGGGTGCTTAGGAAACCTTTAAGAAAAAAGAACAACAGAAGCTTACAAGTCTTTTAGTGTGGTAAGATTTCCAAATGTATCTGGCAACTCCCCAGTAAAATTATTTGAGGTAAGAAGCCTAACCATGAAGGAGACATAACAATTATATTAAAGATAAAGAAGTCGATGATTGCTGATGAAAATATCCAGCATCTGTCTACAGCAAAGCGATTCCATATAATAAACCAAATATATGCTTTTATCATGACAAAATCTGAAATAGGAAAATCTTACATTCTTTCTATGAGGGGAAAATTCCCAAGCTGCCAAGGGAGCACTCCATAGAAATTATTCATACTGATGTCCCTACACAAAGCAAATTCAATTCCATTGATTAAACAATAAATATCATTAAGGATCAAATAAATTCAATTCCATTCAATTCACTTGATTAAACAATAAAATCAAGTGGGGGAAAGAAGAAACAAATGCGTAATCAACACTTACAAACTCTTCAGGGTGGTGATGTTTCCAAGCTCTTTGGGAATAGAACCGGTCAAACGGTTTGCAGTAAGGGAACTGCAACAATGCTCATATGTTTAAGATCACTTTTATCAAATAAATGCAACAAATATGTTTGATTCAACATTTATATGATTCAAATGGATCATGACCACTGAAAGGCCATGAATATGAACATTGAAGAAAAAATGGATGAAGAACATTGAAGTCAGCACTAAAACAACAAGAACATCACACACACATGTATGGATAGCGAAAAAAGACCGTACATGTTGACAAGTGGAAGGGAGCCCCATTCTAGAGGGATGGTACCACTCAGGTAGTTGAGGGTGAGGTCGCTGCAGGAGAAAGAAAGAAATGAGTCATTTTCTCATTGACAACAGACATACATGTAAGGTAACAACGTGCTTACATTTCTTCGAGATAGGTGAGCCTGGCCATCTCTACTGGGAGTGTTCCTGGCAAATCCAGAGTTTTCATAACTCTGTGCTTCATCACAAAACGAGGTTTCAAATCTTAATTGCAATTTAACAAAGACCTGTCTTGCAGCTATACTGTGACTAAATGGAAATGCTTCCACATAAATGAGACCAAAACAGTTAAAAAAACACAAATTATTTAGTGGACAAGGACTGGAATTCAACTCATGGCAATGCCCTTAAAAAGAATAAAACTTGCAATTTTTTGGTCAAGAAGAATAAAACTTGCAATTACACAAACAGTTAATGTGCATTTGTTCTGTAGTGATAATAAGCAAGCCAGCTTTGTCAACAAGTTTCAAAACAATGCCAACCACCAACTCACCATAGAACTGAACATCAATGCTACTAAGAGCCAGCTCAAAAACACATTGTAGTAAGTGAGCAAATTGATCACTCACAGCCCATAAAACACATTGTTGGTAGAATGTGTTGTGTTACTAATTTGTGCATGTATATGTTTATACTATTGTGTTTTTAAACTTATATTTAAGAGTTGACTAATCTTCATTATTAGGGGCTTTGTCGTAGTGTTTTCTTGCCTCGAAAAAAAAGAAAATTTTTGGATCCGCCATACAACTGAGCTCATGGTCATGGGTCAATCTAGGCCTCATCAATGGGCGGGCCAGGCTAGCCCGGCCCAAATTTAATGGGCTTGGACCGGGCTTTAAAGAGGATAGAGAAAATAACGGGTTGGGCTAGTCTGGGCCTAAATGGGCCTACTTTTTTTTGTCTTTTTTTTTTAATATGTATTTTTTTGTCAATTCTTTATTTATTTTTCTATGTTTTGGTGTGTTTCTATGTTTCCTCTTTTTTTCATAGTTCTCTATTTACATTTGTCTATATGTTTATGTCTCCATTTTTTTCTTTGTTCATAACTTCATAGTTCCTTTTTTTTCCATAAATATAAAAATATAGTTATACAACCCCATATTAATAAAATCATATTTGATCCCATTCTTCATTTTTTTAAGTTCTTACAATGATAATAGATAACGATTTTCTCCATATTTCATTTAACTTGGGTTTTTTAAATATATTTATTTATATGTATGTGAGCCTGTGGGCCGGGCTTTTATGGCCGGGCCAGGCTGGGTTTTCTTAGGCTCAAATAGGCCAAGCCGGGCTTTAGACACCCAAGCCCAAGCCCAACCCACTCATTAATGGGCCGGGCCATGATTTTTCTCTATGGGCCGAGTGGGCCCCCTTCGGACCATGGGCTCGCGGGCCTAATGATGACCCCTAAGTCAATCAATGAAGGAAGGTTCATGCACTAATTCTTCTTTCACTTTCAGTTTCAAAAATAGACATGCATTTATTATTCATGTCGACTAAAACTTTCTTGTAATGGGGATAGCAAAAAGTGTTATTTTCATTGCATGAAAGTCTTTCTCCCCTCATAAACCTTTTCGTTTGATTTAATAATTGGTGTGATTTTTAGATTTTTTATTTTATTTTTGGGTCAAACAGATTAGTTTGTACGCAAAACAAGACAAAGACAGGACAAGACTTCAATCTTATCCTTCTAAACTTTTTACTTCTTTCATATCTAATGTGAAATGCTCTCAATATGGTCCTTCACATATATCCTCTTATTAGGTGATGTAAAGGCATGTAAAATTCTTGGACCAACCACGTGAATAACATTCATTCTTGAAATCATCTTAAGATAGTCGAAGAGCAAGAGAGATTTTCAAGAGAAAGCAATTGGGAATAGGACTGTAGAGCGTATCTTTTATATCAAATACATTGATACATAACCAACCTAACCAATTATGTTAGCTAGTAGTATTAATTAACTAGATGTCTTAGGCATTAAGCATCCCAACAAATTATGAGATGATATCACTGACTAATCTAATACTCTTAAGAGTTTCAACATCAAAATTAACTTACGCATATGTAAATAACCTATCCTAGCTAACACTACTCATGTCACTTAATTTAAGAGAAGTGCGGCTACCATATATATACAATAGTACACTCATTGGGATAGAATTAGTGTGGAGTTAGGTGGAACTTAAATATGGAGGATATCCTTACTTTTGTGAGGGTGATGGACAATCCACTAGATTTGGCACTCAGACTTAAGAATTTCTCCTAATTTAAAACTTCCCTAACATTAGAGGCTCTCCTACCTTGTGAGTGGTCGGCTAGGATGAGAAATAGTTGAGGGAGTGTTACAATTGAATATAAAGATTGGGTCTGTTTCCAAGTAAAATAAAAATAAATAAACAAGTTGGGCCTGGTGAGATTGTTAAGAAATAGAGTTGGGCCTATTTACTTATTAGATTTTTGGAATTGGGGTTGGTGTAGAGGTCTAACAATATATAAATAATAAATAAAATTATATATTTTTTAATTTGGCCGGTCCATTTCAGCTTGGTCCAATTTTTGGGGTGTAGAATTGAAATTGGAACCGGCCAAAACTGGTCTGGTTTGATTTTTTTAATCGAGTTTGACTTTTTAGTCAACACAATTTTTTCTCCGTGTTTTTGGGCCCAATTTGGTTTAGTTAGCCGGCTCTTTGATTCCAATGTCCACCTCTAAATTTAAGGACTTCGAAATTAAATTTAACAGTGCCATACAACTCAATCTTTATTTTCCAACTTATGTGACATACTCACAACGAGTATTATTTTAACACGATTTTTCCAAAGCAACAATCTCGTGTGTGTATTATGTGCCAAATAGATTGCGAGAAAAAAAATACCTTTAAACCTAAGAAGTTACCATAAGTACCATTTTACTTGAGTAGATTCTAAAAGGAAAAATATATAATATATAATAAATATATACCCAAAAAAAAGTTTTGTTTAGGGGTTTCCAGGGACACGAGAAATTATAGAGTCATACGTATCACCACTGAAGTGGTGATACTCCCACTCAAAATTCGACACATGTATATTTTTTTGACAACTGGATTACCATTTAAAATGAAAGATATTTTTAAAATAACTTTAGAAAAACAAAAGCGAAAATTCCCAGAAACCAACTCCTTCATCGACGAACCCACCCCCGCCCCCACTGTTTGTCATGACTACTGTCTCACTCTATCATAATCATTCCACTTTCACAATTGAAAAAATTCGATTCCGCTATTGATGCATGTTGAAAGCTATGCCACCAAGATTGGGTTCCTATTTGCCTACCATAAAATTTGCTTTTTCGCAACCCCTAACAAATCTTCAATCTAAATTCCTTGAACCCTAAACCCATAATAGATAGTTAAATTCTTTGAACCCTAAACTCATAATAAGAGGGATGGAGAGGGAGAGAGGGAGAGAAACATTCAAAAAAAGAAAGAATCACGGGCAGTCGTGGCAGAAAGTAGGGAGGCAGAGGCTTTGTTGGCGAGCTTAGGGAAGTGGTTTGCTGGGGATTTTAATTATTGTTGGTTTTAAAATATAAAATTGGACTTTTAAATTCAGCTGTATAATATACATGGCCAATTTTGAATGGAAGTATCACATGCTGATGTGGTAATACTGTACCACTCTATAATTTCTCACCAAAGCACATCTTCACACACTCCATCCTAGTGATCCCAACCAAAGAAAATCTTTTTTTTTTCTTTAGTTAACTAATCCCACAAGTGTGGCATAAAAATTAACCTCACATTAATATTTAATACTCAGTTCTTTTCAAAAAAAACACACATTTTTAGAGAACATCTGTTAATGTATGCATTTTGAGTATTTCTTTTGGCTTCCCTTGACAATTTTGTAATAGGATTTTTATTGTTTTTATCAAGCTCAAGTTTAGATTAAGAATAGCTTCTCTAGGTGTTCTTAACTAACATCTATCCTATGGAGGCTCATGCAATTTGACAAAGGTAAATTGTGCATTGCATCATTCCATTAAATTGATTTCATAAAATGATGACTAGTAATCTGTTTCTCGTATGACTAGTCATCCTTGCTCTGTAGGATTTCCAGCTAAATAACCAATCTTTTTGTCCTATTCTCTCTTCTCTCTTTGCTGCCATGTGTCGATTCTAACCTAGGAATTATGGTGTAAAAGGAAACCAATTATTCATTTGGTAGCCGTCTCTTTTGGGTGGAAGTTTTGGAAAGTTTTTGCTTGCTCTTTCTCTTCTTCTTCCTCATGAGAGAACCATATGATTTTCATCTATGAGTTTTTCCAAATTGATTTCTTTTTGAAAAACTGCATTTGAAATTCGAATCTGCATCTAGCTCATTAAAACACTCTACCATTTATATCTAGGTCAGATTCAAGACTGATTTCTTCAAGAGTGGTTTCTTGAAGAAATTGGTCATTCTCCTTTGAATCCAAATTTTGGTTTCTGTCTGAGTTAGAGCTTGCAAGCTAGTGCCATGGGATGAACGAGCTGGAGAATGAGCTGCCATTGCCATGAAGAACTGAGCTTCAAGCTTTGCTAAGTTGGAGAAGAAGATTGCACAAAGGAGGTATAGCTCATCTTCCTAAATAGATCTAGGTGTTTCTTGAGCTTGCTTGTATTCCTTTGTAAGAATATTTTTCTACTTAGTGGATTGCCTGGTCGGTTGATGACCCCCAGTTTTTCCCAATTGTGGGTTTCTAGGTGAACAAAATCTGGTTTGCATATCTGTAATTTTTCTGGGTTTGTGTTCTTGGTGGTTGACTAGTCATCGTATGAATTCTGGGTTTGTGTCCTTGGTGGTTGACTAGTCATCATTATCTGATGTTTGGTGTTTACTTGATTATGATGATTTCACACACTTCCACCATAGTTGTTGCTAGCACAGGGGATGCCTGGATTGACGGGTCATTCTGAGTGCTTAGGTTGTCACTAGTAATTCTCTAGGCTTGCAGGTACATATTGATATGCTGTGTGTGTGTGCTTGTTGCTAGTTTTTATGACTAGTAGTTGACTAGTCATATTTGTCTCTGGTTAAGTTAAAAGTTTGTGAATATTGTTGAGTCCGTTAGATTGGTGTTTAATTTACCCCTCTTCACCGAAGTACCAATTACAACATCATTTACTTTTTTCTATCAAAAAAAAAAACTTTACCTTTTCTAATGTACATAAAACGACAGTTCTTTTTTTTTTTTTCCTTATAAATTTTGGCTACCTTCTGTTCATTTTTATTTTCCAAATTGGCTTGGCTAGATGGATTAAAATGGTTTAGTTTTTTTTTCTTCTTTTATAATGGATAATAAATGCTTTTAATTCTTTTCCTTTCATGGAGTAGTTTATCATGTAATCACTAATTGACCTTAAAATTCATACTTCAATAAAATTCACTTGTATCGTCAAGCTTTCTAAGTTTGTATGCAGTGGCGGAGCCACTTAAGGACTAGGGTGGGCCCATGCCCTCACTCATATTTTTTATTTTCTCATATTTTTACTTATATGTGTTGCTATATGTTTGCTTCTTGGAGTAAAAACTCTTTTTTTTTTCTCATTCTCTTCCTCTTTTGATTAACTTAAGCTTTATAAATTTCCATTTCTCCCATTTTACATGTCTAAGTAGGGCATCTTAATATTGGGATTTATGAACATTTTTTGTATTTCTTCTCTCTGTTGAAGTATAAATTATTAAATTTTGAGTCTTTAATAGTGTAGATGATGAGATTAATATTCAACCATGTTAAATATAATATTCAAGACAATTATGATTGTAATAAATGGATAAATTATTAATCAATATGAAATGATATTATTAACTTATTAACCCGGTTAGCGCTTGAGGGCTCCTATTCCAATTATTTTTAAAAATTTTGTGAAGGGCCCCCACTAATGTGAAATCCTAGCTCCGCCACTGTTTGTATGTAAGGAAAATTTAGCCCAACCTATTTTCAAATCCTGGATCTGTCCTTGGGTGACACGTCATCATCATATATATAAATGCATTCCATGTAAACCACATAAACCCGATAAGATCATTTGGTGTTAGGTGGAGAGAGAGAGAGAGAGAGAGAGAGAGAGAGAGAGAGAGAGAGAGAGGTTTACATGCTGGTAATATGGCAGACAGTGGAATTGGCAAAGGAACAATCACAGGTGACGCCATACTCAAATCCTTCGGCTGGAGTTGTATCAGTACTCCATGGTTTTGTATTATTGTTGCATGGATCTGCATCACCGAAATTCCAACTCGGCTTCCCCAATGTCTTTGCTATGTCAGCTAAAGTTTGTACTACATATATATATATATATATATATAACAAAGTGCAACAATAATTTAACACCATATGCTCAACACTCAATATCTACAAATTCATACAATTAGTACTATATATATATATGTAGAAATGAAAAATTAATGTCTAAATAAACAAGAACTACAAAGTCATGAATCCAAGCATCATATTACTGAAAGCTTGTACCTACGTTTACATAATTATAAGATGAACAAAGGAGATTAAGGAAGAAATTTGACATAGATATATTAAGATTATATATATACACACACATACGTATACCTTCATCTGGTGGCAATCGAGTAGCTCCAAAAGCAAAATTTGCAAAGCAAACCACCAAGAGAGGATGAAGAAAAAGTCGAGGGAATAACATATTCATCAATTAATTTTCTATTGGAAACCTTTCCACATTTGAAGAGGAAAACAGTGCCCAAAATGAGAGCTTTTGAATGAAGAGGTACCGTACGAATGTGTGTGTATGAAAGATAGGTTTGTGAGGAGAGTATTGGTGCTTACAGCAGCTTTTTATGGACAGAGAAAGATAGAGTAGGCCTTGAAGGACTGAAACTGAGGTCAACTACTTTAAAAAAAATTATTATTCTCCACCACTCACTTTATAGTCTAATCTCCTTTTATATACAAAAATTTACGTTTGCATAAAATTACTTTAAATTACAAGTATAGAGAATGAACTAGGAATCGCCATTCAAGACTTTTCCCAAGCAATAAAAGTGGTACATGAAGTTAATTAAGTGCATTTTTTTTTATTTGTCAGAATTGATTGTATACCTATTTTCCTGGTTTGAATTAAAAAATTTCCAACGTAGGTAAGTAAAAATCCAAGTCATCCAACGGAATAATCCAAATTACACCAGCAATTAATTATTTTAATTCCAAAATCTGCATGCAAACACACACGTATTGTACATAAAGCTGTTTTGACTAAACCACGTAATCACCCGAATAATCATCAATACATAAAAGTTCCACAGCATCCCCTTTCTCAGTTTTCCATTATTTACATCTTTTGTTTTGGAAATATTTTTGCACGTAAAATTAAGATTGATTATTATTTAATTAGTGATCATTTTGAAAAGATCTTGAGTTTAAATCCAAGTAGGTGTGGAAAAATCCAAGTCATCCATCGGAATATTTCTCGTGGAATTTTCATCCTTTTATTTTTTTCTTTCTTTATATATGTCTGAATGAATGCAGTCCATTATTTACATCTTTTGGATGGACACTCCAACTTCCCAATCAGCCAGTCAATGCATGGAAGCTGTATGTTCTTAATTTAATTCATATCTGTCAAAGAAAAAATAAAGAAAAAAGAGCCACTTGTGTCAAGAGCCAGCCATGTGTGACTATGTGGACCAAACAATTAATGTTTCCCATTTTAAATTCATCCATAAAACCAAATTTACTTTCAAAATAATGACAGGGATAGGAATTAAAGGGTTAGCTTCAGGTCCCAGGTCGAAGAAAAATAAGCTTCAGCCCAAAAAATATGAAAAGTTGCTGATGACTAATATTCCAATTCTATTCAATCAATATCAATATTGGATGACTTGTCCTTTCTTTGTTTCTTCGTCTAAGGAACCTTTAAACGAAAAAAATTGAGGTGGAGTATCTGATAATTTTAATTATATTTTAAATGAGGAAACGGACTTATCTAAAGTTTGTAAATTGTAAATTATAGCAAATCAGAACTTATCAAAAGTTTTATATAACATGAATGAATTTTCCTGGCTGGTCAAGCAGGTACTTACAAAGCATATCGTGATTTTAATGTGCCCGGAGACTACTTGTTTACTGCATCTATCAGAAATCATTAAGTACATTCTATCTACTATGTAATTGTGGAAGTAGCACCGATCATACAATTGTTTTACAGTTTTTGTGATGTCTTTTGGGAGCTATGTTTTATTTCCTCAATTGCTACATTCGGATTGTTAGTTTTTGTTCTTCTAATGTTTTTAGCGTTCTTTGACAAACTTGTAATCTCATATGTAATCAATCAAGCTTAAAGAATTTAGATTAGTTTAAGTATGCATTCCAAATGAGAAATCGAGATCAATTTTGTCATGGCTCAAATATAATCAAGATCCTTGAAGGTAAAAATCATATAATTTATTCTCACGTGAGTCCAGCCTTTGCCAGCTGTAAACTTTCTTTTCTAATGTTCTTTGTCTCATTGGGAAGCCAATTTAGGGCAGACTTCTTTTTGGATAAAAAGGGAGGCTACAACATTGATAGAAAATGTGACAGCTTCTTCCTCTGCATTTTCTTCTTATGAGAGGTCTGCATTTTGCATTGTGAGATTTTGACAATTGGTTTTTAAAATCTACTTCGATCTTTAAAATCTGCTTTGAGTTGTTGAATGCGCATTTTCTCTTGGAATTTAGATTTCTGAAGTTACAGAAAATAGGGCTACTGTCCACTTGAGGTCGTTGGATTGGAGCATTGGAAGATGACTTATTCTTATCCCTGTATCTGTCTAAGCCGAATCTGCCAGTTCATGCCTTCCAACACTCATATTGATATTGCATGACAAGTTCAAATCCACATTGAGCAAAATGCTGATTTCCACCATTCTCTTTCAGATAGAAACAGTAACAAAGCTAATTTATTCAGTTTTCCTGACTCTAAACCTCTGCCCTGTATTGCAAATTATGTCATCGTAATGCAATCTTCTCAAAATATATAATATACCTCCATTCTCTTTCAAAAGATATAATATACCAGCTTCTGTGCTGTGTCAAAGTTGATCCAACGGATTCATAATTTAAAATTACCATGCTGTAGAAACATCTATATTATTCTTTCAGAAAAATATATATGCGTGTGTATATAGAGAGGGAGTGGAGATGATATATGAACATACATGTTTGAGAGTCAAAACAGTTTGCTCAGTTTCTCTCATTTCTGTTGTCCCAGTAAGTTGAATCAGGATTGACTGGATAGAGATCATGAGCAGATGTAGATGAACCAGTCCAAGGCCCTTCAGTTGATGCGGTTTGTGTCTGGCTCTCACCGGTTTTCCTTCCGAAACTGGATTCAAAATGTTTCCTCATTGCTTCAATCTCATTAGTTGAGGCATTTGGATCTGAGACCAATTCCTGAACAGCAGCCCTGCCTTCAAGCATGCTCACAACTGAAGACATGGTAGGCCTAACTGTTGAAGTGACATTGCAGCAGAGGAGAGCCACATTGATTGTAAGCATCATCTCTTCTTTGTTGAAGTCTGAGCTCAACCTTGGATCCACTAGGTCCAGCAAATTCCCTTGCCCTTTTAGTAGTTGTGCCTAGAAACATATATTGTCAGAGATAATTTGTCTTTACAAATAATTTCACTGATCTTACATATATTGTCAGAGAAAGATAATGTCAAATGAAGCCAGACTTGATTTTGGATCATCATTAAA